TCCCGTGTTCCGTTACGGACGACGGAAATACGATAATGCTTCATAAATTCTCGATTTCAGGAAATCGAGGAGAACCGTGCGTGTTTTTCGGGGGGAATTTCGTGATATTTAACTGCACGTTTCGCTGGACGAGATACGCATATTGCTGTCTTTTTCTTATAAATAATATTCAAATGCGCATTTACATATAGTTCTATCCGGTTCCAACAAGTTTATTTATTCATTATTTATCGTGTTCCCCTCGTCAGGCCATTCTCAATGAGCGTCTCAAAATAATTCTACCTTGTTCGAAGAAACTTTTTTATTTTCATTTTTCACGGTCCTACCATAAGGTTGTTCTCAGTGTACGTTCAAAAATAGTGCTACCTTGTTCCAAGATGCTTCTTCGCCTTTTTCTCATGTTCCTCTCACGAGATCTTTCTTAACGCACTTCCTAAGATTGTCGGAACTTGTTGCAAAGTGTTTTTTTCTTTCTTTAATTGCATTTCATGTTCCTCTCCTCCATTTTTCGAAGAACGTTCTAAAAGATAGTTCCATCTTATCCCAAAGTGCTTCTTGATTGTTTCACGAGATCGCCGCACAAGTCGAATTTAATTTGACACTGGTTGATTTCGTACGAGTTTGATTCGCAATGCGGTGGGGGGCTCAATGTGATATAAAGCGAACATGATCAACTAAGAACGAACGTCGGGTGAAAAAGACCAGTAACAAATATATTTGTAAATCACATGCAGCATGTCATTGTCCCGATTGCGAACATACATTACAGGATTATTGCGTTCAATTTTTATTTTCTCCAATTTCTCCAATTTCATTTTAATTCAAATGACAAATACTTATCTTTATTTACTTCTGTTAAACCATTTTGCACGAATGAAACTGTATCTGTTACAATGAAATGCTTCAAGACTGTTTGTGCATCATTTGATCGCTTTCAACATAATGTATTATTAGACTGCGGATTTGATGCGTTTGTAGCAAAAATGGGTGGCTGAAACAGAACACAGTGACAAAATTGGAAGAAGCTAAGAATGTTGGTGCACTAATATCAAACTTAATAACGTTATCAAAGAAAGGAAGAAAATTATGCTTGGCTCGTCTGTCTCGCAATTGATGCAGATATTTGTTATTTTGCATAAAGATCAGCAGTTTATATGTTATATATCGGGACCACCCGAACATTGCAAGCGTATGCTAACAACGATCAGACCAGCAGAAGAGTTTAAAAAAAGAAGGGACCAGTAAACCACACGAATTTACGAGGCGACCTAGTACATTCCCCAGCCTCAGAAAGTATCTTCCCAAAAAAGACTTGTCATCGTTCTTCAATTTCCTGCAACATCACTACCGGCACGCGACCAGGATGACACGCCGAGTTCAAACAGCATTGTCACCAGCTTTGGAAGGCTGATAATAATAGATTAAAAATTGGCGCGCGATACGGCGAGGGAAGGACTAGTTGAAAGCGGAGCGCGGAACGCCCGGAGCAACCGGCGGCAGCTCCGAAAATTCTGGAAGCCTAATTACTCGGAGACCCGATACATCTCGGTCGGTCGCGGGCGCGCGCGTGCTCCCTCCGCGCGTGTACTATCAGTGGCCCGTTGCCAAATGCACTCTCCGGTGATAAAACTCCGGATGAAAATCTGTGCTCGACTTTCGTCGGGCTTAGCGAGCGAGGAGATCGGTTGGTAGGAAGCTAGGCGTTCCCGAAGACGGCGCGACGGCGTAAATTCGATTCTGACCTTAATTACTTCATATCTCACGCGGCCGGGATCGTCGCGGACCGTAACTCACGGGGCCGCGCGACTTTTTCTCGGTCGACGCCGGTGACGAATGTAACGACATTCCCGGAAACATCTTCGAAAAGTTTATCCAGCCCCCGACGGCGGTCCGAGATACACACGGGAGGAAGTTGCCGTGAAATGGAACTAATTTAGCCGTCCTTATGTGACTCGGATGGTCGTACTCGATCTTGCTCGCGAAAAAACTCCAGCCACCTGGCGCGGAGCGGTGCGGTGCGGTGCGGCGCGGCGCGGCGCGACAACGCTCGTAACTCCGCGCGGATCAGCCCGGTTCGGTTATGCCAACGGCTCAGACTGCATTCTCGCGGGGTTCGTTTGGTAACGCCGAGCCAGACGGATGCTACCGCGGATCCTAAGGACACCTCCTTCATCCCTAGCCTCTTCCTTTTTCAGGCGAAACGTGCTGGTCCAGGCGAGGTCGGGAAGAAAGAGTTCATGGAAAAAGAGAGGAACGCTCTAATGGGGGCCATTTGATTTTCTGTCTCATCGGAATGACTCCATCCACCTGGCTATGTACGGGATTATCTGTTCCCGAGCGCGACTCAGCGACGAATAGTTAAATAATGCAAATTCTGCGGAGTACTCACAGTGTCGTTCCGATGTCCTTTCATCCCTCGACGAGCTCTCGATTTGTTAAATGTTTTACGCGCGTCGGCAACGGACAATGATTAACGCCGCCGCTGCCCGGAAGTAATTGAGTAGGTTCTGGGATACCAGCCGGAGTCGAAATAGTATAGTCCGGGACAAAATGATGGACCGCTTTAACATTGGCGTAAGGCTTCTCTTGTTTAACGTTACAGTCAAGGTTTTGTTTTTACCACTAGCTTGCAAAATACCGCTATGAACGTACACGAATGAAGTAGAATCGAACTTCGGATGCTTCAACAATTTTAGTTGAAAGGAAACGAATTTTTATGGAAGTATAGTGGGAGAAAGTGATAGCACGTTTAACTAAAAGTTATGTGTAGGAATAAATCAATGAATGGATAAAATTGTTTACATTGGTGAAATTTTCAAATCTACTTCGTTTGTGTATGTTTATAGTGGTATTTTGCAATGTTTGTGTAAAAACAAAACCTTAGTTACAATGCTGAATATATAAAAGTTACGTTAATGTGAAAATTCTATCTTTTTGCCCTGAAATATACAGATTTCTCACTCCGGATTCGTATCCACTATTCTCAATTCTTTATACTTTTTCTCTGGTCAGATTCACCTTTTTCGAATCAAACTCATTCTTCTTCTGGTATAATTCATATTCGCCGATGGCGCAACGAAGTTATAATGTGAACTTATAACTTATATGTTCATAGTTTATTAACCCTAGAAAGATAACCATATGACAACGTACGTAAAAGATAACCATACGCTTCAGAGGCGCATGCTTTTCTAAGGCGTCAATTTTATACTAACAATGGATATTTATTTAAGTTAATCTAGTCATTTTAAAGGTTTGGCATTATTGTAAAAATAAAATGCATTTATATTATATTTTTTTATATTTTAAGTAATTTTAAACTTAAATCACTAGACCTCTATGAAAAATTAACAAAAATCAACAGTCTTCGCAGGCGCCTCTGCGACGTAGGTTATCTTTCTCGGGTTAAACAAAAA